TTAACAGCATTCCTAGCCCCTCATAGTAGGTACCAGTAACATGTACCTCATGCCCCATGTGGCAACTAAAAATGTCTCCAAACATTACCAAATGTTCTTTGGGGAAGCAACATCACCCCCACACACATACGTCACCAATGCAAATTACCATTTAAACCTATCCAAAGGATGAGGATGGGAGTGGGGAAGAACAAGCAAAGGTGCCATAACTAAGTTATACTTTAGTTTGAAATTTTAATGTCTCAGAGAGGGATATAAAATATTGTATTCATTTGCTTACCCAAGGATAATATATGGTGAATAACAATGTATTGAAGCTAACAGTAAACACCCTGATGTGAGTACCCATGAGTGCCAGGCAGGAACATCACCGACCCTGCCTTATCCCATATCCCCAACCATTCTATGACGCTAGTACTCTGCCTTCCTGGAAACCTAAAGCATGGGGAGGTTATATGGCTCACTTAAATAGAGTAGTTTGGACTTACACACAAGATGTTGGTTTCCAACTCTCTTATTCTTAATCATTACCCTACTTAATCATTTCACAAAGAAAAGTTGGGGTGGGATGACTTGGAAAGAGAGGAGACTGAAGTTAGAAAGTGGGAAATTGAAGTTCACCTTAAAGGGGAAGGGGATCAAATTTGCCTGTCAACACTATTCTCTTAAGGGTTAAAATAACAAAAAATGTAATAACTCTTTGGATATTTTATGTGTACAAATAGACCCAGGATCTGTAACATGTACTTCAATTCCTATGTAAAAATTTTAAAACATGAGCCCCCATGAGTTACTCTCTTTTCTGCAATTCCTATGTAAAAATTTTAAAACATGAGCCCCCATGAGTTACTCTCTTTTCTGCATCCAGAAAAATGTGAACCACCCAGTTCACAAAAGAAAAGTGACAAACCCGTTTTAACAAAAGCTACTGGGAACTTTGATGGAGTACCTTTGCCATCTGGTGGTAGGTAAACGAACTGTCCCAAAATGTGACAAAATATCAGGGCCCATCTCATTTTTAGTAGGCACATAGTGGTCCTCCAAATTAATTCCTAGTTGAAGCTAGCTTTTGGCAATTTGGAGACAATGTACTTATTAATTGCCAAGGGAATTTAAATTCTGTGTAACTCTTAAAGAAATACAGTACTTTGACTTTATTCAAAATATTCCCTGATAAACTAACATTCTCCTATATTACTGAGTCTCAGAAATACTTAAAGTATTGTAGTATTTTAACTTACAGGCAGAGAAAAACAGCAAGAAATAAGAAAGGAAAAAGAAAACAATATAAGAATGTAAAAGTCTGCCATATTCAGTAGGGAATCAAAAAAAACCACATAATTACATTAAATGCATATACGTGTTAATCAAAGATCAGAGATAAATATGTCACTATCAGGAATCATTAAAAGCATTAACTAAAGAGAAGAATTATGACTTTTTAGCTAAAGTGTTAAATTTACTTTAATGTGGAATTGATGCCCAAAACTATAGACAATTCATGTTGATATACACCTTTCTCCAATAATTTCATCTTATAATTGTCTTGTCTTCATTCCTTAAATATTTAAACTGTTCTCCTCCATTTTGTAGTACTACAAAAAAGCATATAAAACACTTTTTATTCATTAATCTGGTGAAACTTATGGAGCACCTTCTATCTGCCTGGTATTGGGGTCACAACAGTGAAACAAATCCTTATCTTTATGATACTTACATTCTAACTAGGGATACAGGCAATGCACAAGGAAACACATCTCAGGTCCCACACAAAATTCTAAATAGTATCCTAATAATTTTTCCAACTCTGTGGTAAATCTCATTCCCATTTCTCAGATGAGACTAAGGTTCAGACCACTGCTTGCCCAAGGACTCAGAGAAGTGGCAGAGCCAGTATGCAAAATCAGGTCTATACTTTCTAAGGGACCCTAATACCTCCACCATCCAGATGCAAGATTCCAGCAGCAAGTACAGCCAGTGTGCCCTTGGAGCTAGATGCGTTGCAGGACACAATGCAAGGCCTGGGGGGTGACTTGGACCCTTCCTCCAAGCGTTAGTCCAGTCTTTTAGAATTGGTACATGTGACTTCCGTGTCAGAAGGACTTCCTTCTGGCCACCAGAGTTCATTAAAAATAATAATTTTTCAACCATATACACTACTTCCCTCTTGTAATCCCAGCTACTCAGGAGCAGACACAGGAGGATCACAAGTTCAAGGACTGGCACTGAGCAGCTTAGTGACGCTCTGGCTCAAAAATTTTAAAATGTAACAGGCTGGGGTTATAGTTCAGTTCAGTGAGAGGCCGTGAGTTCAATCTCCAACACTACCAAAAAGTCTCCCAAACTAACTCTGAAGAAAAATTATTTAAAGTTGTAATTTAAATTTCTAATAAAAGTAAAAGTCAACCAAGAAACTAACATCAAGAGAGTTATCAATTAATCCTCAGATTTATTTCCCCTACAGAAAAGAAAGCCAGGATATAATCTGGGTTTTGTGAGACTTTCTCCTGTTTTATTTACATTCATGACAAGGTCAATTACTGGAACATGCAGGTGGTCAAGAGCAGCACTGGAAGTAAAGCTATACTGAAAGGTACAGTGACCAGTGACGTAGAACATCAAGTGAGTAACGAAAAATTACAAAAGATGCTCCACTTGAGTAAATACCAAATCAGCACTTCCAAGTATTATGTATTTCTTGGACAGGTATTCTAATTCGTGACTGTATCTTACCAAAATTGGAGCTGACGATCAGTATGATAACCTGGCTGTGCACATCACTGAGAAGGCCAACTACTCCCCAGCAACTTCAGGCAAGCCTTTGTTTCCCACATCCTGTCTGAAACACATTGTTTGCTTGGCAAAAGCCAGGAGATGTGAGAACCTCCTACAGCAAATGTTGATATAAAGAAAATGTCCTAAGTGACCAGGGATATTTATCCAAGTATTATTTCCACCACCTGTGTGGAGTTTACCAAGTAGGTGGGTAGGGTCACTATCTTGTGTGCATTCAGCTTGAGTTGCCTGGATACCATGTCTTATGCTCAACAGAGAACATAAATCTAATTGTTCGACTCTTCACTTAAACCATAAGGATTCCAAATTAGATCATATCACTGAGCCACAGGAACAAGTCTCATGCATTTGAATTCTGTGCAGCTTGCCAAAGCTGCCCGCTCAAACCAAAGGCAGGAAGTTTTACAATCAAAAAGACGTTTTAGGGTCTTGTTGAACACAGCTTTTAAGAACCTCTCCCTTTGTTAGGCCTCTATTCTAGGTTTATCACTTCTAATTGCTGGTGAAATTAAGATGCAGATTTCTGAATTCCAATTCTCTTTCTGCAGCTAAATTATTGGTACATGTTAGTAACGTCCTCATAAGTTGCCATTTGTGGGCATAATCATCAATGTCCATTAATTCTAGGACATACTTGGCTTCTGCAGACAAATGATAGGGCACAATTATAAGTTTTATAGTAGTAGTAAACTTTATAGTTGCAGCTACTATAGACTCTGGAAAATCTTAAAATAAAACTTCTATATAGCTGGAGAATTTTAAGGTCTCTTCATGAAATCAGTTTTCTCTTTTGAGTGCATTTATTTTCATTTTGTAGCAATTATCACGATTGTAAATAATGAATAATCTGTATTGCTACTGAATGTCAATTAAATTAATTAATTAATTATTCTGTAACCCTCTGAAGGGAGAAACCTGAGCTGAGTTGTTTATATTTCCAATGTCCTATACATGGAAGCTGCAATCAATTATTTTGGTAAATGACAGCACATGCTTTGGTGACCTCATAAGATTTATAATAGAGATTAAAATTTTCTCCTAGCACATATTTTTACTGAACATGGTTACCAGGTTTGTAGCTTAAAAGCAACAGGCTATACAACAATTATACTAAGCATGTAATAGATAACACTATCTAGGTTTGTGTAAATACACTCTATGATGTTCATACAATGATAAAATCACCTAGGACTGCGGTTTGCAGAATGTATCTATTATTAAATGCCAAATGTCCTTACTAAATGACAAATGGCTATGGACACATAGTAGGGTCTTAGAAAAAAGTTGATGCTATTTATAAATAGGAATATTATTTAATTCTCTGAATGAGTCACATAGCTTTCTTAAAAAGCACTTTGCCTCACTTTCTGGTTTTGCTATTGTATCACAGTTAACACAAGACATTGTAGAGGTGAAGGTAATAATCTCTGTATAACTTTTGCAGCTTTCTGTGAATCAGTGAGTATTTCAAAACAAAAGGTTAAAAAAAACTAAACAGACTGATTTCTGATACCAACTATATCAACTTCTTGGATTTCACCAAAATAATGGAAACTTCCATTTCAATTGTTTCATTCCTACAGTGTATTTGACTTCCTAATCTCACTGATGTTTCCCTAGAGCCTGACTTTCAACCTAATAACGTCTACAAGTTCATCTTTATTTCCTACAAGTTCTTGACAAAACAGATTATTTGTACAACAGCTCCTCTTTTGAGACAGTGTCCTCAAATGCCAAGTACGGTGACAATTTTCACACAATTTATCCCTGCCAGTTGCCTCCATACAGAGACTGCCAAAAGGCTGTCAAATGGTAGTAATTTTCAAAACTAAAGGTCCGAGAGAAACACTACATCGAGGAGCTAGTTGTCCCCTCGAGGCCTCTGACTGCAGTAAAATACAGTGCGCACACATCCAGGTTCCCAGGCGAGGAACCACACACGTAGGATATTATTTAGCCACATCCATCGCAGCTTTATATTACTCAAAGGCACAGACCACCAAGCTGCCAAATCCCCTGTGAAACTGCACAAAGCACAGTAAAATCGACAGAACAGCTCTCGGTGTCACAATGTGGACAGAATTTCTCGCCCCTCAAAATTCCCCTCAACAAAGCTGCCACTGGCAAAAGTCAGGCACTAACTAGTGGCTTGAGTCACACAACCAAATTCAAACTTTCAAACAAACCACTGAGTGGATACTAACTTTTCTGGGAGCCTCGGAACGCAGCCCACGCAGTTTGGCAGAGTTGCTACTGAAGGTGAAGTCTGGCCAAAACCGTAGAGGATGCCGGGAAAATGTGCGCACCCGCTGACCCCGCCGGCCCCTTGTTGGCCTTCACCCACCCTGCACCATGTGGTTCCGCGTTTTTCTAGCCCGTTTCCTTCCCCAGGAGAGAAGCAACTGCAAAAGAATGGCTTTCCAGTTCACATCGGTCTCTGTGGGTCACAACACAAAGACTGTCGTTTTCCAACACCTTCATACTGAGAATATCACTTAGGTTGAAGTTGTAAAAACAAAAAGCAGACACTAATGGGAGAACAGCCTGGAGGGGCCTCACTCAACGAGGAGGGCCATCTACCAGGAAAAAGAAAAAAATGAAAACCAATTTTCTTTACCTCCTGGGCAGAAAAGAAAGTAGAAAAGAGGAGAAATAATCTTCATTATTAATTTAAGTATGCCAATAGGATCAAGAGTGTCTATGCAGTGCAATTGAAAAGGTGAATATTTGAAAAAAATTTTTTTAATTTATTACAGTAAAAGAGACACTGCCAAAGTTTTCACTCATTAATTAGAAAGGCTTTATTCTGGGCTTCTTGATATGAAAATATTTGAAGCTAGAGTATATGAAGTTTTATCCAAATATTTCAAGGAAAAAGACACTATGGTAACTACTATTAAGTCAGGTTATAAGGTGGTGAAGTACTGGGTTGTTGAAACAGTCATGCTGTGACCTCTATTGTTATATTGTTATGTCCTGTTTTATCTCAATCTCCCCCTTATTGTTTCAAAAAAAATTATTTAGTCATTTCTTATGTTTGTCTTAATTAAAGAAAAAATTCAAAAAAATTAGGATATATAAATAGTAACTCTTTTTGATTTCCTATTAACTTGTTTTGAAGTCCTGTAGTACTCCCCACGATCTTGTTTTGACTGATTAGACTCTGTTCCATTCTATATGATAGTATCAAGTTTGAAGACATAGGCAACTACTTTGAAGACAATAAGATTCACTAAGATACCCATTCTGGTTTGACTATTGTCTTCTTTGGAAGTCCTGTAATGTTTACAATGCCTAAGTTTTATTGGTCTTGTTCTCTACTGTTTTGTCCAACTTTATAATATCTAATGAGATAGACAATTCTTTTTAAGGAAACAAGGGACAACGTTGATAACCATTGTTGATAAACTTGTACTCTGTTCTACACCATGTGCTATGTCTATCCTTGGTATTGACTGACAGCTTTGTTTTGCCATATTTGACTGTATTCTTCCCCCCCCCCCAAAGAAAGTAATAAGCACTAAGGAGTAATAAAATCCAAGATGTGTAAATTTTGTTGTAAAAAAGAGAGGGAGGAAAAAAAAAGAGCTCTAACGGATATAACAGCAAGTGTGTTTGGGGGTGTTAAATAGCTGACTATATCAATGTTTTTGGAACATTGAACACAGCTGTTTGCAGTCTCCCTGTTTGAATGTCCACCTTGTGTTCTTTGATACTGTGATTTGAAGAACTATTTTCAAGAAGATAGTGTGTAATCTACTAGCAGGTGATTTCTTACTGTTATGTTTTTTTGTTTTGTTTTGTTTTGTTTTTGTAGTTCTGTATTGCGTGTACCCTTACGCCGCTTTGGTTTGTTTTGTGTTTTTCTCTTTTTCCTCTTAAATAAAAAAAAAAAGAGAGACACTGCCATTAATCTCCCTCAAAATGCACTCACCTTGCTTTGAACACATGTATTCCAGCATTCTTGCCACTTTATGAAGCAGTTCTGGGAGGCTTCATTCCTGAGTGTCATTGGTTACTGCCTGGATGCCTCAAGATTCAGAACTGATTCAAAACTACAGTTATTTTGACTTGGAGAAGTCAGAAGTCCCACACGGCTATTCCAATGGAAAAGGAGTGTATGAACACACTAATTTTTTTCTACCTTCTTTTTCCTGCTTTTCTGTTAAATCTCACTAGCAACATTCACAGTATTTTTAGCATACCAGGTAAAAACACTCACAAAAGAGGACTTCCGGAACTGCTTCAGAAAGTGGTAAGAACGATGAGACAAGTGCATTAAAAGCAAAGGAGAGTATTCAAAAGGGACTTAATGGTCATGTGTCTTTTGCTGTTAAATTTTTAAAATTTAAACATTAATCATATATTTTGATAACATCTCATTTTGTCATTGCCAACCAGTTAGTTGATAGAGAGACAACATCCCATTCTCACTTTTTTTTTTTTTCAGAAAAGTAATGTCTGGTTGCATAGCATTTTCAAATCAATAAAGAACTTTCACATACAGAGATTCACTTTAACTCCCTGGATATTCTTTAAACACTAAGGATTCTTACACTCAGAGACTCGGTCACAAAGCAGTTAGTAACAGGATCAAGACAGACAGACCAGTAACTAGGTAGAGATAAAAGGGGAAGATGAGAATTGCTGTGCTATTCTTTGGAGAAAAAGAAATGTGTGGGGAGAAGCAGGGTAGGAGCTGGTCTCCATCTTTGTAGTACACCAAGGACTATGGAAGTAAGACTTAAGAGAGCTAATCTGTTTTCATTCTGACAATTCAAAGAGAATAGTTCCTGAGCTGATAAATTCTCATTTCAAAGGTGATTCATAGAACATTGTCTCCCAAAAGAATTCCACCCAGAAATGTGAGATGAATAAATCATAAACAAAGGGCCCCAGCTGTTACTTAAATTGGTCAACATCTCAAATGGGATACCAGCTTAAGTCAAAATATCAAAGGACTTGAAAGGAAGCGGCTCACCTTGAAATGATTATGGAATAGGAGCTGAGCCCCAGATGGAGAAGCCAAATCTCGGGGGCCGGACCCATGGTAGCAACAGGTGGATGAGTCTACTACCAAAGCCCGGGCGCTGACTTGCCACACTTCTGATTTGAGCTATAAGGAAGAAAAGCCACACCTCCACTGCTGAAAGAGAAGTGCTTCTTCCAGTCTTCTGAGAGGGCTTAAAACATACACACACACACACACACACACACACACACTCCTACTCATGCTTATACTCAAAATGGCCTCACCACAATGCACAGTACTCACAACTTATACTCACACTGTCACATACACCAAACTTTCACAGCACAAATCCACCTTTCAAGTACCTCAATTTTCAAATGCTTCAACTCTCATATGAAGCCAAATTTACACACACCAACTCTCTTATAATAGAGCTTTGAAGGAGAAAAAAAATGGCTACAAGATACTTTGTAAATCAGACAAAAACTACCTTTATAAATTTCATTCACATCTGTATCTCCGTTGAACACTGCAGGTATAGCATTGGTGCTGAATAAATGAATGAATGAATGAATGAATGAATGAATGAGTGAGTGAATGTATGAAGTGATAAGAAGGATAAAAAGAAAAAATAGGGGGAGATTAAGTGTCTATCTTCACCTTGAGTCGGCCACAGGCAAAACTACAGCTTGGGAGGAGATCCAGAGAGTTGAGTTCAGCAGTCATTTCCTCCTTTTAGCTTTCCACCAGAGCTTGAGCCAAGATGAAATTCACAGGTAGAGGATTTTGTGAAACTCAGTCATTCTGTGAATCTAGGACCTGCCTGATTCTCTGACCTTACTCAGCTCTTCTCTACCCAGTAGCAATATAAAACACAGGACAAGCACAATGAGAAAGGAATGCACAGCCACAATTTAATCAGGAAGGGCAGCCAGTCAGATCTTCCTGGGTTCTCTTGGCAGGAGAATACGCAGGAACTGGATCCAAACTTCCAAGTGTCCTCTTTCCTACTCCTATGCTCTAGCCCTCCCATGGAGGTGCACTTGCCCATTCAGACCAGTGAACAAAGCATAGTTCAGGAACTGGAAGTTCAAGCATCAGACGCTCAAAGTGCATAAAGCATTTTCCCACCCTTTTCAGAAAGATCAGAGAAGTCTTCACAATGTTTAGTCTTCTTTCTCACCACTTAGACACAATGCCCCATACCCACAATTTAAAAGAGGAGATGTTTAATTTGCTCATAATTTTAGTCCCTGTCAGCTGGCTCCAAAGCAGAGATATCATGGCAGAGGAGATGTTGAAGCAAAGTTCAAAAAGGCTGGGAAACAGAGAAGTGGATTAGTGCCAGAGAGGAAAGGTCAAGGGATCAGGCAGACCCAAAGGCCCAGACTCCATGACCTACCCAGACATACACAGAAGTGTGTTCCACCAAGCCCTGTGGCATATCACATATCCAATCAATCTGACACTCCATCTTAGCCACCGCATATAGATTAGCTGGTTTTATCAAACTTGTGGGTAATTATAGTGGCAGATGTGTATGAAATGTGCAAAATAAAATGATACAGCCACCAGCAATCAGAGTGTTTCTCAGGAGGCTAGAAGGACAGAAACTAAATGACCGATCAAATTTTCTAATGAAGAAACACAGTCAGTAACAACCGAATGAACACCTTGGCGCCATCTAGGGATAAAGTGTCTTTTCTGTGACAGATCTACAGTTTTTGTCATTTGTTTCGGTAGATTTAGTCACAATTCAAAAGAACAGACACACACACACACACACACACACACACACACACACACACACACACCTGTAGCTCTATATCCAGCATTTGAACTTGGGACAAGAAAACTGGAAACCACAATACAGGAACCAGAACAAGTAGAAAGCAAACTTTATGCTTGTACAAAGGTTGAACTTATAGAAAAGGTGGGACTCAGCTTACTTTTAAAAGGTAATAGGGCAATAGCTGAAATAGTGATATGCAGTAAATATACTGCTCCCCACTTGAAGGAACCTCTTCCAAGAAACCAAGACCCAGAAAAGTCTGTCATTATGGTCTATAAAGAGAAGAAAGGGATATCAACATTGAGGTTTTTGTGGTGAGCCATGAGTTTACTTCTTTCTTGCTGGCCACTTGATCCTAACATGGCTGTGGTTTGGTCTTCTATCTTGCTGGCCATTTGATCCTAACATGGCTGTGGTTTTGGTCTTCAAATGAGTTGAAAGATAAGCACATACCCTTCTTTCCAGATCTCATTTGACTTCCCTCAGCATCAAGTCAGATTTGTGAATGCCAGCAATAGAGTAGAAAGCCACAGTTCACCCACATTGACCACAGAAACTCCAACTTGAATAAACTAGAATTGGGGTAGAGTTTCCTACCAAAGAACAAAATCGAATTTGATCACGAAGCGATATAACCAGCCTCTCAACCACTGGTCTTTTTGAAGTGGGAAATGAGAGAACTGGTGGAATCAGATGGGTAATTCAAACCACTACAAAACCCCACCAAACATCACAAATGATGTCTTAACAACATCAAGAACAAAAAATTATACAGTGTATTTATAGCCTAAATCTGCACTGATTCAATAGTTAACAACCATATGTAGCTATTTAACTTCAAATTTTAACTCATTAAAATGATATAAAATTTGAAATACAGCTCCTCAATCATGCTAACCACATGTTTGGGGTACTCACTGGCCACATATGGTTAATAGTTACCATATAGACATAGAACATTTTCATCATCACAAGATTTCTTCCACCCCAGAACTGGATGACTCCTTGGTCTCTGTTTCTGGTCCTGTGCTTTAGCGGCCTATTGGATAGATACAGATATAGAGATAGAGATAGAGATAGAGATAGAGATAGAGATAGAGATAGAGATAGAGATAGAGATAGAGATAGAGATAGATGCAGATGTAGCGGTAGATGTAAATGTAGAGGTAGATACAGATCATATACGTATATTTACACATATACATATACATAGTCAGCCCTCTGTACCTATGCACTCTACGTCCACTAATTCAACCAACTGTGGATCACAAGTATTTGAAAAAATATTCTGTGCATACTGAACATAAGAAGACTTTTTACCTATGTTATTCCCTAAACAATGCAGTGTAATAACTACCAGCATAGTATATAAAAGTATATACTATGCCATATATAAGTTACAAATATTATACTTAAGTATAAGTATTAAGTATATAGAAGAATACACATAGGTTATGTGCATCATTTTATATACAAAGGACTTGAATATCTCACATTGTTATATCCATAGAGGTGTTTAGGAGCCAGTGACCGTCAGATTCAAAGGAATGAGAGAGCTAAGAAAAGAAGATAAAAAAGAAAGTTAAAGGGAAATCAAAGGGTCTTTCAAAAAAAAAGCTCAGAAATCTAAGTATCCATTGTATACCTCCCTTTGAACTTTCTGAAGGTTTACTCATATAATAAACATTTAGCTGCTGTGCTTTATGACTCTATTACTAGTTACACCAATGTTTTGTATGAAAGTAGTAACAATACATGTGCCCTGTTTAATCATTTTTGTGTTTTTAATCATTTTGTGTTTTTAACAAGCTGAGGACCACTCTTTAAGCAAGCAATTGTTGATAGTCTCATTCTGAATTTCATAATTTGTTCTGCTAATTCTTGGTGCAATGATTTTAGATCTTTCTG